AGAGAGAGAGAGAGAGAGAGAGAGAGAGAGAGAGAAAAGAAAAGAACCATATGGGGGCTGAGGTTGTAACTCAGTGTTAAGAGTAGTTGCCTAGCATGTGTGAAGAACTGGGTTTACATCTCAGCACTGCATATAAGTAATAAAAATAAAAGCCCATCAACAACTAAAATAATAATTAAAAAAAAAAAGAAAAGATGGGGCTAGGGATTTGGCTCAAGCAGTAGCGCACTCGCTTGGTATGTGCGGGGCGCTAGGTTCTATCCTGGACACCACATAGAAATGGAATGAAGATATTGTGTCCACCTAAAACTAAAAAATAAATATTAAAAAAAAAGAAAAGAAACTTATGGAAGCAAGCTGTTCTTTATTAAATGAGAAATCCTTAGAAGACTAAACTAATAGCCAGTAATAATTCCAAACATGAACACAAAGAAACACCAAGACATTTAGTATGAAAGTCAGAATCCTGCCCCCTATCCAGATGTCTACTAGCAGAGGAGGCCTCAGTCATCTCCCCAGCCTTTCTCAGAGCCCAGAGACCCATGAGGCCCCGATCCCCTTTTGATTGACTCCCTGGTTCATAGTGCAGGAAGATGTGACAGCCAGGGCATTAGAAATTCTTTTTCATACAAGGGGAAGAGTGCCACTGAGAAGACCCATGTTTGCTAGCCCTAACTACTACTTGTGAGAAACTGTACTTTAGTCCTCTCTTCCCTCACCTGATGAAACAAAACAACAGTTAGGTTCCTTGGCATGGGACAGTAACTTGGGAGGCTGATGTAGGAGGATCACAAGTTGCCTCAGCAACCTAGCGAAGCCCTAAGCAACTTAACAAGAACCTGTGTCAAAATAAAACATAAAAAGGGCTGGAGATATGGCTCAGTGATTAAGAGCCCTTGGGTTCAATCCCTGGTACCAAAAAAGAAAGAAAGAAAGAAATAGAACAGCAGCCTTCGAAAGAAACTGTGCTGAAGAGGCTCAGAGAAAGGTGTTTGTTTGCTAGGGCACTTAGACTGGGACATTTAGGGTGGTATCATGATCCTTTAAGGAACAAATGTAACAGTAAACAAAGTGATGAAAACCTTTAGAATGAGGTGAAAACTAGGGGCAGGAATTGGTGGTCTAAGTGAACTTCCAAAGGGTTAAGTCATTATGGATAGGTTTGGTTTTTGGTTTCTTTTAAAGCACTGGAGATAGACCCCAAGGCTCCTGCATGCTCAGCGAATGCTCTAAACTGAGCTACACCCGTAGGTCCCTCAGTAGGTTTTATCTGAAGGTTATATATAAAGTTCCTTTCTAGAATCCCTGTAGCACCCCCTCCTCAGCCGGGATGCCCTTGTTTTGCTATCCCACCTTTCCAAGCAGTCCAACAAGTTTCAATAAGAAAAGTAAGACAATGGCCCACAGGAATTCCTACAAGTGGCCAGATCTCATCTCTTACATGAATCTGGTTTTTTTTTGTTGTTGTTGTTGTTGTTGTTTTCCTTGATCTTGAAACTGATCCTCCTCTATCTCAGTAGAAACTATTTTGGGTTTATCTCTAGATTCTCACTTTCCCACTTTCCCCCTAGTCAGAGAATAATGTGCAGTGGTAAAATGTTTTATCAACTTCACTCATTCTGGACATCAAGGGAGGATTTCACTTGAAACAGACTTCAAGTGGCCATTGTAAAAACAGCAGGGCAGAAATTTCCACCAGTATTCTGTAGACTGACCTGGAGAGGTTCCCCAGAGGCCCAAATGCAAGGAGAGCCAAGTAGGCTCTGGAGCTGCCTCAATTCACCCATAGGAGCTAACCGTATATAGCTTATATACCAGGGAGTCAGTCAGAAAAGGAAATACCACTGACCTATGCTTAGGCATGTGCAGGAATTCCCACAAAATCCAATTTTATCTCTCTCCATAAAATCCACTAGTAAATTCTCTGAGAATCATCTGTTTGGTATTTGCTTCAAGGGTCTTACTGTTATGTTTGTTTGGCCCTTCCCTTCACAACCATCTAACAATGAGTTAATGTGCTCTAAAATCAAACAGATCACAAAGCATATTTAAAATAGTTAGTGAATAACCAACAGAGGGTCATTATACAACTGGCCTCTGGTATGGAGCCTCTCACTCTCTCCATTCCATCAGCTACATCCCATCTGCTCTGCCACCATCCTGACCAGAGCTGAACATGGCTCACCTCACTATTTCTACTTCAACCGTTTTCACTTGGGCTACATATAACCCCACAGGGGTAGTCTGAAAAGACCCTACTGGCATGCTACTTTAGCTGGCTGTGGGTGTAATACCAAACTCTTTCTCTTATTCTCTCCAGAATTTTGTTGAGAAGAACTCTTTCTCTACCCTTCGGATATTTTTAGCCCTAGCAGCTTCCTAAAAATGTCCCCCAGTGGACAACAAGAAGTGTCTCCTTCAACAACTACTCTCATTCTTTTCTGGCATGCAGAGGCTTTTGGAAAGGCCAGACTCCTCACAGCAAGAGAATGAAATGATGAACTTCAACTATAGCATTTTTATGTGCTTGATCTCTTTATAGTAATACCATCAAAACGGGGAAAAAAAGACAAATTAGGAGAAAATATTTACAAATTACTTAGGTAAAGGGTTGACACACTTAACGTTTATTTCTTTTTGGGAAGTTCAGAGAATTGAATATAGTACTTCACATCCGGTAGGTACCCCTGAGCTACATCTCCAGCCCTTCTTACTTTGAGACAGGTTTTCACTAATGTTACTTGGACTGACCTCAAACTTCTAATCCTCCTGCCTCAGTCTTCCAAGTAGCTGGGATTATAAACCTATACCACCACATCTACCTATAACTTGTAAAACTAGAAGAACAAAAACCCAAGGAAAAAAAAATAGACATGGACTGTTAGAACTGCAAACTACAACTACACTGATACCATCTCACACCGGAATAGCAACCACCTGAAAATTAAACGACATTTTGTCAGCAAGGCTGTGGAAAAATGATCTTCTAGCAGAAGGATAAAATAGAAAAAGCTCGATGGAAGTGAACTTGGCATTATCTTAAAAACTGCACATGTAGGGCTGGGGATGTGGCTTAAGTGGTAGTGTGCTCGCCAGGCATGCGCGCGGCGCTGGGTTCAATCCTCAGCACCACATACAAAAATAAAGATGTTGTGTCTGCCGAAAACTAAAAAATAAATATTAAAAAAAATTCTCTCTCTTTAAAAAAAAAAAAGCTGCACATGTATATATGGGAGGCTGAAGCTAAAGGATCCTGAGTTCAACCCCAGCCTGGGCAAAACAGAAAGATGCTGTATCCAAAAATATCAAATGTAAACATATTTACTCTTTGATACACAACTCTACCTCTAACATTCACCTTGAATTTTAATTTCCACAACAAATATAAGCACAAGGTCATTTACTCTGAAGCATCATTCAAACAGCAAACAATTCAAATAACTCTAACACCCTTCAAAAGGAAACCCTACAAGAAAACCCTACAAGGGGCTGGGGTTGTGGCTCAGTGGTAGCATGTCACCTTGCACACTGAGGCACCGGGTCAGATCCTCAACAACACGAAAAAATGAAATGAAGATTGTATGTCCACCTACAATTAAAAAATAAACATTTAAAAAATAAAACAAAAAATAAATATAAAAAAAGAAAACCTCACAAAATGGAGGGTTTATTCAATAGTATTATGTTTTAAAAAAAGAAAAAAAAATCTCTGTGAAATTATATGGAAGTGATTTCTAGAATAATTTAAGTTGACAAAGCAAAGTGTGAGACACTTGCTACATCACTTTCCCAAAACTAACCTGCTGTTCCAACAGTGA